AGAGGGAGGTCTGGGCCTCCCTTCTGAAGCTGCTGCCCCCGCGACCCGACCCCGGATAGGCGGAAGAAAATGGATGGATGGATGGATATTTTTATTTTTGTTTATTTTTTTAATTTGTTCTTACAGATTTTCGGTTTTAGCTCATTGCTCAGTGCACCTCTGCATTTAGCTTATAGCTATAGTTTCACAAATCTTTTGCTTTGAACAACTGTTCTTGCTAATTTTATCTTCTGCTCTGCTCGTTTTATTGAACAAAGTACTTCAGCTCTCAGCATTCACACAACATCTGTGCAGAAAATTCTCTTGCTATATGTGAGCCATCATATCGAAATGAGGATTAAGTCAAATTCGGTCAAAATGACCTAATTACATTTTCTCATTCTTGGCTTTAAAAGCTACATTTTGATACCTGGATCATTCTGATATCCTAATTAAATCCATATATATGACTTAATTTGTCTTGTTGGTCACAATAATACATAAATATTTGGTCTGAATCCTAATTTTATGTCATTTTAATAAGGAATATTTGACGTCCTTATAAAGAAGAACCTCAAATTATATTTGAATATTGAGATTTACCAGCTAAAAAGAAACAAAACTTTGCTAACTCACAGGGAAAATCTCAAAATTTTAAGGCGTTTTTCCTCAAAATCAGTTTTTTTGTTGCTACTGCTCAAAAAAGTGCTTCAAATTTTTATTTTTTATTATTATTATTTATATTTCAGACAGTTCATTCAAATGATACTTTAATAAGGCATTTATTCATTATATTTTGACAAAATGCAATTTTTGTTAACATTTTAGTCAAAACACTYTATTTGCCTATTTCTCCTTATACAACTTTTGGACTTAATCCTCGTTTTGATGTGATGGGTCACATATGTCAGATTATCTCTTTCTAGTCAAATCCAACTTTCTCATTCTTCTTCAGCTGGTGATTGAGGAGGAAAAGAAGTTCCTAAAGCTGCTGGAGATTTTGGGTCACTACCAGGAGAAGGGATCAGTCATTATCTTTGTGGACAAACAGGAACACGCAGACGCTCTGCTCAAGGACCTGATGAAAGCCTCGTACCCCTGCATGTCTCTGCACGGAGGTACTGGCTTGCTCTGGGATTAGGAACCTGTTGACTGTTGTTCTGTTGTTTTACCTCAATCTGTTACAAAGCCGTAGTCCTCCAGACCCGGGTCTTTGAAGTCTTAACGTTGCTGTCGTTTCAGGAATCGATCAGTACGACAGAGACAGCATCATCAACGACTTTAAGAACGGAGCCTGTCGCCTGATGGTGGCCACCTCTGTGGCAGCCAGAGGTTTGGATGTCAAGCAGCTCATCCTGGTGGTCAACTACAACTGTCCCAACCACTACGAGGATTATGTCCACAGAGCGGGACGCACCGGCAGAGCAGGCAACAAGGTGGGTCACTTTAAATCTGGCCTCTCCTTAAAGGGATCCCTGATTAGTTG